GTGATATTGTCTTGTATTTAATTCGACGGATTGAATTAAAAGTTTATCGTTTAAGTTTACAGATACCAAGCCAACAATGATAAACAAATTACTTACCCTTTGAAAATTGTAGAATTTATTGTGATTTAGTATTAGATTAGAGATAGTCTCGGAATATAAAAGGTGGATTTTTAATAGCTAAGGTTAGATAGGATTAATTGGGAAATAGTTAAAATATGTTGCGTTGCGACAATTAAAAACTTGGAATACCTTAAGTTTTCTTTTCATCGCAAAATATTTAATTTTATTAACAATCGTGCGTGTCACATAAGAAGGTGTTCGTTAGAAAAGCTTAATTAATTTAGAAATGTATATATACTTACTATTAAAATTTTGTTAGTAATTATTATACGATGATAGTTTTTACGTTTCTATTTAAACCTTTTTTTTTTGCTTAATTTTTTTTTTTTTTTTTTTTTTTTTTTTAGAACAATGCTGTCCTAATAAGTGTTTCAGGCGAAACTATTTTTTTTGCAGATCAATTTGGCGAAACTAGTTTCGCCCCGAAACACTAGTCCTAATTAATACTTTTTTATAAAGACAAGCTGAAAATCTTTAAACAACTTAATATCCACGCTCGCCCTTGTTATATCTTGCATACATAATCCTTTAAATCCTTTCTTCGCGATATTTTCGTTTTAACTTTTTAAATTTCGTATTTGTAACTTCTTTTAATTTCCGACTTTATTATTATTTCATGATTCAATATTTTTTTTTGTAGTTATTTGTAATTGTGCAGTTTTAATTAATTGATTGGCATTTACTTAGTTTAATATATTGATATTGCGAAAGTGTAGAGCGCCAACGTTGAGGCAACACCGATTAATTTGATATTATTAAATAAATATTTGTCACATTTACTTCATAATTGCTTCATTTTTATTCAATTAATACCTTCTGCTTACATTAAAAATTGTTTATAAATAACATAAACGAAAGAACTGAATACAACATTTGCCTAACAATTTTTTTTAAAAAAAAAAAAAAAGTTTTTTTTTTTTTCAACATCTCATTAAAATTAAGTATGTATGACAAAAATTATTTTGGGGGGGGGTTTTTTTTTTCATTAAGAATATATTTTCACACGTTGATCCATAAATATTGCGATCATATCGTAAATAACTGCCTGAGAAAATATCAAAATCGTAAAAATCCACGAGCAACCGATTGGGAAATGAACTATTTTAGAAACTTTTCAAATATATTAGTGTTAAAATTGCGAGAAGCAAACATTAAAATTGTCAATATTTTGTTCTAAAGCGTAAACAGTTGCAGTAAGCAAAAAATCTCTTAATTCTATCATTCATTTAATCTGAAATCGGGTACCAGAACCGGACATATCATTCCGGTCTCTTTCAACTTACGCCTTATTTTGTACTATAAAAAATAAGATCATCAATGCCTAATTGATTGCTCTTTTTTATTTTGACTTTTATGGTAATCTCACGAAATTTGTGAAATCATTTTGGTTAAGGGTCTTCATATATGTAGTGTATAAAAGAGGGAAAGATGAATTTTTTTTATTTTACTTTATGTTTTTAATTCTTTCAAAGTACTGTAAAGAATATACAATGACGGTAAATGCACAAAAATGGGTAGAGAAAAATTGTCACCGAGATATTATCAGTTTAGACATTAGCAACAAAAAATTAAAAGGTCCCTTACGATTCGAGGGTTTTAATAAATTAAAATATTTAGATTGTTACAATAATGACTTGACTAGTTTGGACGTAAGCGATTGTACGAATCTGGTTAGTATCCGCGCTAATTACAATAGAATTCACAACATAGATTTACCGAGGAATGACAAGGGATTGGAGTATTTAAACTTACTTGATAACAATTTCACTGATCAAGATTTACGTTGCTTTAGTAGATTTGTTAATTTAAAAGATTTACATATAGGAAATACTGGTACTGAAACTGATAGGGAGGAAAATATTTATAATCGTTTTCATGGTAGTTTGGAACCTTTGAAAACCTTAATAAATCTGGAAAGTTTAAGTATTAATAATACCGATATTAACTCTGGTTTGGAATACTTGCCTAGCAGTGTTGAAATTTTGCGATGTTCAGCGAAAGAAAGAAAAGTCAAAAAGATATGTGAAGATCTTAGTATTTTCGCAATGGACGATAACGACGTCTTCGCGGGTAGATATAATTTGAAAGCGTGGAAAAAAAATTGGATCTTGTCTACTAAATTAGAGAAAGAAAAAGACGACTTTCATTACCAATTGGAAGAGTTAAATAAGAAGTTAAGTGAAAATGAATACTTGAATACTCAACAGACGGAATTGGAAAAAAAAAGGGGAGAAGTGCTTGTTAAACAAGAAGAATTGAAATCAAAAAAAAATCAATTGGAGCAAGATATAGAAAATTTGCAGCAAAAAGTCAAAGATTTGAACACAAAGGTAGAACAAACAGAGATTATTTATCAACAGAAAAAGCGAGAATTAGATGAAAAGTTGAAAAGTTTAAATTCCTTTACCGCCGAGAAATTAATGGAAAAAGAAAAATTGCATAAAGAAGCTAATGATTTAAAAGAAGACTTGGCTATAAAAAGAAAGGTTAAAGAGAAATTGGATAAGAAATTACAAAAAAATACCGAAGAACTGGAGAATAAGAAAAAAGAGATCGTAAATTTACAACATCAATTTGATGGAAATGAACTCATCATGTCCGATATAAAAATGGAAAAGGAAGAATTATTACGTCTCAAAAGAGAATTGAACAATAAAGTATATAAGGGAAAATCTAGTACGGCTGACTTAAGAAAGAGAATGGATGATTTGGAAAAACAAGTTCGTTTAAAAAAAAATGAATTAAAAAAGCCATTGTTGGAAAATTTACAAATACAAGAAAGACTCGATGGGGCCAGAGAAAATGTGCAGACTCTCGAAGATGAAAAGGCTTACCTGAAAAACGTTTTGAAAATACATGGTGAAAATATGCAATATTCCAAAGACCTGATTTTTGATCTTGAAACCCAATTAAAAGAGAAAGAAGATCTTATTAATGAACTCCAACGAAAAAATCAGCAGCAGATTGATTACCTTGAAATCCAATTAAATGAGAAAGAAGATCTCATTAATGAACTTCAACAAACCAATGAGCAGCAAAATATTGGCCTTGAAATCCAATTAAAGAAGAAGGAATTTCTTATTAGTAAGATCCAGCAAACGAACCAGCAACGGCTAGGAGAAATAAATTGTTTGTTTTCTAAAATACAAACTAAAGAAAATGAGTTAAATAAATTATCTAATGATTTTATTTCTGAAAGTGAACTTGGTAGAGCAGGGAAAGATTTGTTAAAGAAACTTTTGGAAGAACAAGATAAATTTATCCGATTTAATGATTACTCTTCTGAAGAACTGGAAAAAACTAAAAAGGAAATTATAAAAAATCACTTAAATTCGGATGATGTCCAAAATCTTTCAAGTCTTCTAAATAAACAAGCGGAAATTATTCGGTTAAAGTTGCAATTAGAGTCCTTAACAACAATTTAAAGTTCCACAATTCTTAGAATAGTTAAAATGAAAAATATATATATAGTAATTTCCTCAAAAAAAAAAAAAAAAAAAAAATTTTGTATTGGTCAAAAGAATATGGGAACTTCTAATCTATGATCCATTAATCCAATAAAATTAATTCTTGTAAGATTAGGGATATTTTTGGAATTATCGTAAATATTAAAGGTAATTGAGCGTTTCAACAAATTAATAAAATGTTATATTATCTTAAATTAATTGAAATTTTTTTTTTAAAAAATGCCAAATAATATTTCTAAATAATTTATAAATGAGATACTTATTTTTACACATGTTGCATCTTTGAGCCATTAAATGAACAACCAGCCTAACTTTTACAATGAAAAGTTCTTCTGCATAAGTTTAAATTAATTTTACGTATGTATCATTTGTATATGATGCATAATTCGAATTCTATTCAAAATAAGAGAATATTTATTAAGAGTTGGCGCGTGAATTGTACGCAAGATGAATAATTTGCACGGCGGAACATTACTTAAATTAAATGAGTCTTTACTTCTATTAAAACATAAATATTTAACAAAAAATATTTATATACATGTGAGATACCTAATTTTATTTTTAAAAAAAAAAGTGTATTGCTTGGGGGGAATAATTTTTAGATAGAATTAATCCTAATAGAATTAAGGAAACTCATGGCGAGACCATAAGCATTTTGTGTCACGAAAAGAAATGCATTTTTGCGTAAATTTCTATTTACGATTTCTAAAAATATTTTACTATCTCGTCATATTCTTATACTTTCTTCAAATGTTTTTTGAAACTTTAACAGTTCCTTAACGTCACCTTCCAAAACTTTATCTTCTTTTTCTGCATTAGTCTTCAACTCAATCGCGAATGATAATACATCATTACGATCATCATACTCTTTACATAAATCTTTAAACTTGTTTTCGATTGATTTATCCTCTAGAAATTGTAGAACAATGTCATATTGTGTTATTTCGTCAATATATATTTTCATTTTATTAAGAGTTTGAATTAATTTATGTAAACCGATATGATCTTTTAATAAATCTTCACTACTTTGTAAAATTACTGCAGAAACTGCAGCAGAAATACGTTCCATCAAAATTCTGGTTATATTTTTACAATGTAGAGCCGTCTTGTATATATCCGCAACGTCGTTAAGAATATCAACCATATCCCTAATTAGGTCAGCGGTGGAATCTGTTTGCGCTATAGGATCGTCTGTCTCGTTCATCTCAGTTACATCATTTTCTTTGTCTACATCTGGGGTTGAATTTGGCGGTGATTCGCTTGCCGAAGAAAATTTTAAATCTCTTTGGTGGAAAGTTTTAATGACATTAGACAATTCTGTCGTTATCATCTCATTTGAACTGGATCCTTGTTTTTCACTAGAATTAATATCATTTTTATCTCCCCCTAAATCAACACGTATAATAATTTCTTGAGTATATTTTGAATCTGATGAGGAAATCATTGCTTTTAAAATTTTAACAACTTCTTGAATCTTTGGCCTTTCACTAGGATTACCATCCCAACATCCTAGATCAAATCAAATTAAGTTAAATTAAATATACTTAACATTTTCCAAAATTTTTGAAAATTCTTACTTACTTATGTAAAGGTTAGAATATCCTTCAGGTGTATTTTCTATAACAGCTTCTCTCAATCCTTTTGAAATTTCCATGGCCAAATCAAAATCATACTTATCAGCAGCAAAAGGTAATTTTCCACTAGATAATTCCCAAAATAATACACCAAGACTATAAATATCACTTTCCTTACGCAGTTCAACCTTTTTTGATATGAGAGACTTTCCCGATGAAATTTTATTTTTTGCATCACTAAATCTAACTGGATCAATATATGGAACTATGCCAAATACTTCTGTTATAGAATTATCTCCAATACGCTTGCTTAATCCAAAGTCCGCTAATTTAATTGAACCCCCATGTATAAGAATATTGTCTGAATGTAAATCACCGTGTACAATTTTTTCGTCATGCAAGCATTCTATTGCGCTTGATAATTGAAGTGATAAACTGTATTTATCTTGCCAATTAAGAACGTGAAACTTCTTTTTTAAATAATTGCGAAGAGTTCCTTCATCTGCATACTCTAACGCCAGTAAATATTTTTTCTCGTCTTAAAAAAAAAGGGAGGGAAAGAATTAAATTAAATTATTGAAAATTCTTGAATAAAAAAGAGTATTTTTAGTATTTACAATATTTACCTGAATTAATAGTAATACCATAAATTCGTATTATATTATCATGAAAATCTACATCTCTATGTAATTTCAACTAAAAAAAAAAAGTTTTTCTTGGTACAATTTCGTTAAAATTTTCCTTTTCCACTCCAATTACATACCTCTTTAACAATCTTTTTAACGGTTAACTTGTCTGATTTAAATGACTTTAATGCAAAATATTTTTCACCATATTTCGCTCTATAGACTGTACCAAATCCTCCTCTACCTATTTCTTCTATATTTCTAAACTTCTTATATTCGTAATTTTTTATATGCTTCTTTTTGATACTTTCTTTTATCCATTCCATGATGATAGAATTTTTGTTTAGAATAGATACTAAATTTTTTTCGTTTCTTCTAGTCCAGAGGGTATAAATCGATAAAAATATTGATCTTATCGTTTTGAAAAACAAAAAAATCCGAGGGAAAAATAAAAATTTTATCAAACTTTATATGTTACTAATGAAATCACTTATTAAGCATGTGGCACAACTTCAATTTCTCACGACATCAATCCCATTGACTCATTACCTAGTTGAGAATAATTGATTATTAAATAAGATCCATTATTTCTTGTTTGGCAACCGGTTTTTTGTTACATTTTAAAATTAAATTTAAATTAATTATTTAATGAATATTTTAATTTATATTAATATTTAAAAATTTTAAATAAATTTTAAAATATTTGTTTATTATTTATTAATATAATTTTTTATTATTTTTAAAAAAAAAGAATAAATGAGACTTTTACAATAAAAAGGAGGAAAATTGCCAGAAATAAATCAATGATTTTTAGATTAAAATATATTCAGATTAAGCATTATCTCATTTTTTTCTAGCCATTTCTTCCTTTTCTATTTTAAGTAAAGATGGATATTACAATTAGTTTTCTTTAATTGTAAGATTCCAAATCTTTTATTATTTTGTTAAAATAATATTATTAAATTAAAAAGAATAAATAAAATTTATAGCTTAACTTATATAATTAGACATAAAATTGTTTATAAATATTTTAGAAAACTTATAATATTTTAACATCTAGTGATTATAAAAAGATGAAATAAGTTTTTAAATTTGTTATATTAGAATATATATAATAATTAGAGTTCCGAATGAGTCGAATCGAATCGAGTTTAAGGATCAACTCGATTCAACTCATTTTTTTCGAGTCAAGTCGAGTCAAATTTATTTTATAAAATTTTTC